TGAAGCCCTATGTTCCTCTAGGAATTAAAGGAAGTAATAATAATAAACCAAGATGCTTATTACTGCCGAGATATTATCTGCTTTCCAGGGTTAATTCACCTTGGATACATGCATAATCAGTGTCTAAAACATCAAAGTAATAACTTTTATTTGTGATGATGAGTGAATCATGTGGAATAAATTACTATTCATTCAGGGTGGAAGGTAGGACTTCTGAAGCTTATCCCCATCGAACTAGACTAAATGCTCTTATAGTCAACTGGATTCGACGACTGTCCACAAGCCATAATTCATCCCTTACATAGTTTCCTCTATGACACCGTCAGACTCTCAACACATCATACATCATTCAGATCCTAACTGAGGGTCCTGTTTGTAAGATCGCTTGACGGTTCGCTCAGCGTTTTTCCAATTTATCACTAATTTCTTTCTGCATATTTGTTAAACAATAGACTATTGGCTGGTTGGCTGCACTATCAGAGTTTCTTGTTGACTATCAATCTCAGTTGACCATCTGATCTTCAGCATTGAACGAAGACAGATGCTTATGTCTTCTGGAAAACTTAACTCAGGCAACGCGTGCATCAAGCCTCTGGGGCTCTGAACTGACTTGAAATCAGTATTAAAAATCTTACAGTACCGAAAGCCTGTCTCACCTTTGTCATCGTCACTTTGATATCCTCATTCGTGCCATCTGTAGTTGAAACGATGTTGCCAAGGTAAAAGGAAGACATCGCTTCCTTTACATTTCTCGCGTTGACATTGAGTGGTGTTTGTTAATACTGTTCAGGTATGTTCATCACACCTGTCTTCTTTGTATTCACCTCAAGTCCTGTCTTCGCCTCCTGTCAATCCTTCCAACTTGTTGGTTTCCCCTGTGAGTCTTCGAGTTTGTGTTACAGTGGACGTAAACTACTTGTGAATTCCAAATCTCCTGGAGTCTTCTTGTCTGTCCAAAGTATATTTGTCTTCTCGCTCTCCACAGTCTGTCACATGGTCCATTCCACCACAGTCAGAAATATCACCAGTGATAGTAGACAGCTTTGTCTTACTTGTTTTCACTTCAGACGTTTCGCTGAGCTTTCCATCATGAATTACTTGATATGTGGTGTCACGCATGGATAGATAAATGCTTGGAGAATTCAAAAGTGTTGAAGCAGCTGCAAAACTACTTTACAGTAGACGCTAACGAAGCCTTTTCAAAGACTATGAAGTGAAGGTGGAGAGTCCTCTGCCAGTTCATATTCTGTTTGATGTATATGCCGAAAGTTTCAGTTTGGTCGTCACATGATCTTTGTTACTTAATTCAACATGTCCATGACGAAATATTCCATTCAGATTATCTTTCAGTCTTTCTAGGATGATGAGGCTTGATATTTCTATTTAGGACTACAGGAGTATGATACTACGCCACCCCCTGAACAGGTTTACTTCACCCTTGCTTGACATTTTAGAACGGTACCTTTATTTCCTATCACACTCTCTGAAGATGTACAATGAACATGTCCATTGAGGTCTTTGGGTCTGTTCTCAGTGCTCTTGTTTCGATTCCATCTGGTTCTTCTACTTGTCCGATTTACACTAACTTTATGGCCTCCAGGATTTCTGTTCTTGCTGGGTAGCTGGTATTAACTAGCACTTCCATGTCTGGTGGTATTTCTATACGAGTTGTAGGTGGAGGTGGATTCAATTCTTCTAAATAGATCAGCCCAGTCTTTTTTGGCAATAGGACTTCACTCTCCTTTCACTGTCAATCTCTAAACCTGTTCATCTTCTGCTTAAGCATCCTTGGTACCTCTATCAGTTTCCACGTGTATTCTTCCTTCCTAAAACGGCAATACAGGTTTCCTTCCACCATGCTTTCACAGAGTTACAATGTTCTTGGCACGTAAGTTTCCTCGGTGATGCTTGAAAATGTCTCCATCTCTTTCCTAATTACTGCCACGTAGAAGGCTTTTGTAGCTTTATCCTTTAGGTTCTCCAAGTTGAACTTGAATTGTGGCATATTGCCAGCTTCTTTGAAGCTTCCAACTTAACCTCAGAGGTTCCTTGCATTACATTATGATCTGAACCCATACCTCTTCTCCCCGATTTTCTGTCCAGTAGGCTGCATCTCTATTTTTGATATAGAGAAGAAATTTATCTGATTTTTGGTGTGTGTTGGTGGGAGTTGTGTACGGGAATGTAATTTAACTGAACATATTTCATTCGACCAGTGAATTCTATAATTAGACAAGGTGATACAGTTTACACCTAATCACAGCACAACAGATTCACTCATGGTCTGAATTTAACTCAGTTATAATACCAACTTTTACTATTTGCAACATCTTGCCTTCTCTTGTTTCGGAACACTTCATTTCTCTGTTTTCATCTACTGATTTATTTGGTAATGCTTCACGCATAAACATGAGGTGCAGTAATTCCGATCTGAAATCTTCTTTATATCCATCTACTAACTACGCCAATACACACTATTTCATGTATGGATAATATGTTAGTAATGCTTATTTGTTTATCATTTTGCCTACAGTGAATTGAACAACCCGTTAGTATCAACATATGATGAAAGAGAGCAGCAATGTTCATTGTATGTTCATGGATAATGGTTATAATTGAGTCGTATTTGCTGTTTTTAAAGATTCAACTCATCTCAAGCTCATTTTCACTATGCGTAGAATTCGATGCATTGTAAACTAGCAGAAATGGAGGGGTAAACAAACGGTCCTCAACTTATTCCTTATGAGGTTACAGATGCACCAACCTAGAAGGAAAGTGCTGTCAAGTACTTTAGTTCACAGTAAAAACAGGGGATTGAGCAAATTCTTTTTCTACTAATTTTTCAGAATTTCTCAAGTACATATTATATAGTGTTGCAAGGGAGGAAAATGCATTTCATTTTCCTTTAAGTACTAAGAATATCACATTTGCTATTGGAAGGATAAGTGACAAGTCTATATTCAGAAGGCGATTGACCAATGGTTAGTTTGAACATGACGGCAATACTCATCCTATAAAAGCTTGCCCTAGTATCTAATTCACTCTTAAAAATGTAGTGAGTACAGTCGACAAACTAAAATCATAGTTTTAGAAAAACTAATGGATTGTGTTGATACTGGAAGAATGGTTTCAACTGACTTCAAATACAACAAGCAGTTACAAATATTTAAATGTGGACTAAATGAAGTCACCGCAACAGCTATAAGATGTATTACTCGATGAAGCCGAACTAGGTGGCATTAGAAAACACTCATAGGGCATCAAGGCATTTTAGTTTCAGTAACTGGGGTGTTTACGGGGTGTGGCTGTTGACCCCACACTCATCCTACTCTATTTTTCGAGCTTACTCCTCGTTACTTTGTGCGTCAGTCACGAATGATTGGCGAGCACTGTACAAGTGGAATTACCAGAGTAGTAAAACCAAGGAGTTCAAAACAGATGTCTCAACCTAGTTCGGGACTCTTCAATAGTGCACAACCCTTAACCCACGAGGTATCCAACCCAAGACCTTCGGATTCTGAGACGGACATGTCGCTATTCAGGTATTTGGGTAATTATATAAGCTTATTAAGTATATGAATTGTAAACCAGATTTTCTCTTAGGAAGACAACCGTCTATCATTATCGAAAAAAACACATAAAATATTGCACAGGATGTAGAGAAGACCGACTCCAATGGCCTATATTAATGTCACTACCACCCACCAAACACTACGAATCTGAAGGAGGCATAAAAGTAAGTGTCAATAAATTAGAATGAGCTGTAGGAAGTTTCCAAAGGCAAACACAAGGCTGATCAGCGGTACCTTAGGCTTTATTTCCAGAATTGTTTGGGAATGGTGTTACAGGCTTATTGGTCGGATCAACTCATTAATATTTATTATTTTTTCCTTCAGTTCCTACAGGAAAATAGGGCTTAAGCTGCACGACCCCACTGAGTCGGTGTCTCCACCAATCTTTTCACCTAACTCAACGTCTGCGGACATGCTTTCATCTAACCTTCCCACCAACTTCGCCAAGTAACACTTGGACGAACAACTCACCACTTCCCATTCGGGTTCCACCATTCAACTGCCAAACAATACCAATCTAGGAGGAGTGCAATACATTCGATTTAAGATTTCGTGAGCAAATGGGAAACTGTGGTGCAAGGGAGCTCAACAAATTCCGTTTTATTTAAGCCGGAGAGACCAGTAAATTCAATTATCAGAGAAAATACCGGAATTTCGAGAAAATAGATTTTCGATCGGGTGACAATACAGAAAGTTATATCGCTTAGAACTACACATTTTGGTGGAGGTAACGACATCGAAATCAGTAGAAAACAAAGAGAAGTGACAAAAAACAGTTAGTCTCAAAGAAATAAAATGCTGGTCGGAAAAAGGGAAGACATTAAAATTAGAGTGCAGACTTGTCTTTCGGAAATCAATTTTTCCAAAGTTATCTGGCCATTGTGATTAAAGGTGACAACATTGCAGCTTGTGTTTCCTATATGCGTCGGAAACTATAACCATGGATAAAATTATCGGTCGCTTCTTAGTACATGGTTAACATTTTTCAAACAATGAATTTCGATAGTATTTCTCGTACCTCTTAGAATAGTCAACTTTCTGATGAATAGACCTCAAACAGGTGACAACATCTTTGCAGAAACTTGTCAATGAAATGTACTTCTACCATATTTTTGATTTATATGTTCACTATCATAGATGAATATATATATATATATATATATATATAACGCTCATCAGTACCAATAAACTGCAAAACACAAACAGCCGTCCTAAACCAATACCTCAGATACCACATCAAACACAGTACGCCCAGCTCAGATTCCATGGTGCACAACTTACGAAATCTAATCGTCATATACAACCAGATATCCTGAAGTAGATCATCATACGATAACATAAAACAATTCATGGACTGAAAATGTATAAGCATTGCTTTCGTGAATGGTGGACACGTTTTCCCAAACTGATTATCTTTCATACAGATTCAATGCTGTTCACGAGAAACAGAAACAACACAGGTGGTTAAATCAAATAACTCAGAGAGTACAAAACTACCGAAATCATGTATCCCGTCCTGTCATTTATTATCATGGTAACAAAATATCATAAATCAAATATTTGTAATTTTAATCTCACGAGTTTAAGAAATAACAACTCAATACTTTTAAATTTTAATCAAAAATATAACAAAAGAAAAATATCAAGGCACACTTCTCTACTTGATCAAATATTTGTCATTGAATACAAACACATGAATATGTACAAAAATAGAATAATCGAGAAAAGTGCAGTCCTGTTCTGTATCCCTGAATTACAGGCATCTGTTGAACAAGTTGTAACACATGCACGATATATCCTATCGTGATCGGGAAAATCTAAATACTGACATTCATTCCCTAAATCCCATGCACTGCAGAATCGTGTTATACCCATAACAGCTAAAAATAAAGAAACAAACATGAAAACAGATTTATTTCACTAAATAATTCATACTGTGAAAAATTGTCAGCGGTACTAGTAGTGGATATCGTGAAGTAACACTAGCCATCATATTCATGAAAACTTCAAACAGACATTTCTAGTTCATCATACTGTCTAGTATGCCTATGACCGGTTAGCTGATAAAAACGAGTTAGCTTGTTAACAAATTGAAAACAAGCTTAACACAACATGTATAAGCACATCTTTCTGGTCAGTTTTCTCTAAAACAAAAGGGAATTTTATTAGCATTTCTTCATTAGTCTTGAATCAATAGTTCATTATCTGTGTACTTTCTTATATCCTCTGGTTATTCAATTGAACCAAATGTTGACCGATAATAGATTAAAATAACAGTTCGTTAATTTTTCACAGAATTAGATTTCTCTTCCAAAATGAGTCCCTCATTTTACATCTTAATTTTACTTCTGAGGTTGCACAAGTGACATTCCCTCTTTTTACGACATCGAGTGTACATTGCGTATTCATTGCTTCGCGAAAACACTATCGCTCTGTGTAATCACGGAACACTTGACGCGAATTTTTCGACTTCGTGGAAAGTACCATATGTCAATTCCATTTTTGCAACTTTTTTACTTAAATTGTTTATATTGAATCAAGTAGATATCGCTTGATCGCGTGATCTCATTTTTATTCTTACATCGAATTGTCGGGTACTCAAGATTTCTAGACTTGTTAGTTTCAGATTATTTGTCTTGCAAGTAGCTACAGCTTACAGTAGGCTCCTTGGTTATGACAAGTCAAATATTAGGATAAACTGAATCCATAGAAACAGCTTCGTCGCGAAGACTGATACAAATTTGTATCTGCTACTAGAAGAGATAACAATGGACTTTTGTGATGCTTTATCGAGAAGTATCGAGAAAGGACCTTGAGTAAGAACCTTAATACAAGATGCACTATAGCTAAGGAAATCAAATGTGTGATTGAAAAATAAATAAATAATAATGATAAAAACGGCTTACCACCATAAATTCCTGTAGTCTTTATGCAAAATCGTGCTCCATATGTTGTACATGGTGTCGGCTGGAGAGAATGTTTACCTAGTTCTACTAAATGCTCCAAACAATTAGAATGATGCGATGAGTTGCATTGATAGCATGACAATGATGAAACAAAATCTACGCAAGAAGAAATACAAATAAACGAAATTAGTCTACAGACGAAATGTACGCAGCAATGTGGAACACCATGCATAAGTGGATTTTAGACAGTAAAGAAAGGTAGGATAAATGGAAACTAAAAATAACGTAGAGAACCAGAACGTAAACACATTCACTCTCTTTAGTGAGCTTATAACAAAGTTGCACATCAGTGTTGAAAGGAGATATCTTCGTCCGTGTCATCACTGCTTCTTGTGAAATACGCCAATAATTCTGCATAGTAAGCGTGTTGAAAATATAAAAATTGGACAAAATAAGCTTGCTAGTGTTGCCTGGACTCCAACTTTCTTTCAAAATTGTTCTCCTGCGATACTTCTTACAAAGTTTAAAAATAACTATACTACTTAAGGCATTCTTCATCTTATTCAAATCTTACCCTTCACAGCCATAGATTGGTCCTACTTCCAGGATACAGCTGACTATCCTCTGTAAAAGAGTTGTGTCAAGTCAGTGAAATGAAATGAATATTCTATGCTTTTCCTTCAAATATGTTGCAACTAGTGCATCTGTTCTTCTTACTTTTATGGAAAACATTCAACAGTCATAATGTATTTCCTTATAAGTGATTCTAATTGTTGGTCGATTATATTACTGAAGGTGAACAAGAGCTTCTGTCTGACGGGTCTGTTGTTGCAAATGACAAACGTCTAGCCGATATATATGTATATATATATACATATACATTAGAACTCACCTATTTTTAGACTGCTTTTGACATGATTATTACCAATTAAAAGACACTAGTAATAATGAAACACCGTGCTTGTCATAAGTATCACCTCTTATCGGACTAATAATTTTTTCCAAAGTGTTCTCAGAGCCAAACTCCAGGCTTTCTCTGATCAACCAAATGACGTTAATTGGTCGTAGGTTGCACCAGGAGTTAATGACATGAGAAAACATCTCAGTACACCAGTAAGTGACACTGAAGAACTATCACCACAGACACAAATTCAGACTGCTACTTGGCTGTCTATTAGCTTTTGTATTATTCATGGTCGGCTAACTATTGTCTGTTGATTAACTTGGAGTTATACATACCCCTGGTGTATAAGCAGCGGTTGATTTCATCACACAGACAATTCAGTCACTGCACAGACAACCTCGTCTAAATTCCATTCAGTTGAGATTTGACGAAAATCACTATCTCAACATGAAAATGCAATCATTGTGGGTAGTGAGAAAACAATCCTTATCTGATGGTATACCAATACAATGCTTTTGTTCATTAAAAACCTGTTCACCATATGTATATATATACATGTGGAATGTAGAAATTAAGTTCTGCTTCTTGACAATTTTATAAGCATTAGAAGTAAAGTAATGCACAACACATCGTCGATCGGTGAAAGGGATGAAAAAATTCCTTCTGTTTATGCATTCAAAAACGAAAAATAATACGTATATTCAATTCATAGGATAACACTTTAAAGAGTCCGTCGGCCACCATGACTTCAGTATTTGTAGCTGCAAAGGCGAAATACTCAGACAACTACTAACCGAAATGCCACAAATGATTAACTCACAGTCATTTTTAGCCTTTAAGTGGATTATACAAACCAAAAGACAGCAGTAATGAACTAGGACCGATAAAATGAAGAATAAATGCACCCAACACTGTGTTAATTCAAAAAATTTTGAACCCTGCATTGTAGAGAATGTGAGTCCTATTGTCTCTCATATTTGTTATTCGTAGGAAGAACCAATTTGTTAGAAAAGATATGGTAGTAAGTCACAGCGCTAAACAGATATACCCTAGAGTAAAATAATCTCATTGCTTTTAGGAACAGCATCTTATACTTAGTAAAAGACAATCTAGAATGAAGGCCACAAAATACCATAATCGACCAAAACTCGTCAAACTGGCGTCTAGCGATATAAGTCAGTGGTATTTTCCACTCCTTAATAACTACTACTAAATTTTTAACAACTAAAATCAACACATGAAGTAACACGATTGATTTGGCATTTTCTCGTGAGTACATGTCATCTATAGAATGAAGTTAACAATGGGGTAGAAATTCGTTTACCCAGTGTTTGTCGTACACTGGTTTTTCAAGAACAGTCATACCCCTTCCCCTGTCTATCCTTTGTGGGTTATTAGTAACCGAAATTCCCCTTGCTGGCTCTCCGCTACTCAAGGGGACTAATAATCAGGTCAGGTCTAACCATGATTCCGGTAGCCATAGGTATAATAACTCTCTTGAGTTAAAAGAACTAACACTGGAATGGGTAATACCAAGATACGCAAGACATGAGGTATTATGGAGCGAAATCGATCACAAAATTAAACAAACCCTTAGAATTCTTTCAAAGTGCAACGTTTGCAGACTGGCGCGTTCAACGAAGTTTAACCCCTAGTTCGAAAAATACACCCAAATGAAATTCATTCATAGGAACATTTATTCATTTGGCACTGGCACTATATATAACAAACAAGAACCAAGGTGTTTATATATTTCTTATCTTTAGAACTAGTAGCCATTTAAAGTTAAAGGAAGAGGAAATCAAATAAAGTATAATTATATTTCAGTGGTTTACACACAATGATAAGTTTTGTTATTGGTAATATTTCGAGCGAAATTACTGCCCGTGTTCACACCACTGTTGCAATTGTTTTGTGCTATCTAGCTCTTTATCCATACTGGCCATAGTGAAAGTCTTCGTCGAAATTCAAAGATTAAAAAGCCTGTTCTCAGATGACACAGCAAAGCTCAAAGTGAAGCTTGATTCCTCATAAGTTTTTACCACATAAAACGATGGAACTAAGACCATAAACATAAACAACTTATGTGTTTCAGCGTGAGCGTGCTGAGGCAAAATACTCTTATTAAATTGCTGGAATACCACTTTACTTTCATCTGATGAATTTTACAGTCTTTGAGAAAGATTATCGCTATTATCATTCTACTAATATTAGTCTTAAGAGATTGTCAAAGGATGTGGGCGACTGAGATCTAGCAACCCATTCGGGATTTGTTCAAGCTGGAACACTGATTAATCCAGGTAGCAATTAATCAGAAGTTAGATTATTTCATGGTTAACTGATTCCTTTAATAAACTTCAGTAAGGCTTTTACCTTTTTATTTGGGTACATCTTTGAATGTGACACGTCAAGAAGACTGCTTTGAACCTCTGTTTTCAGTTCACATCATTAATATAAGTTTGCTATTCACCGAGCTATGTGTGAATTATGATAAAATACGAAATATGATAAATGGTAGAAGCATAACTAATCACACTATGGCCAACATTTCCTTACATAACTGTGGGAAGTCTGATTATCACACATGTGTCCTTTCTGCCTTTATTCCCTGTGACTTTATGGATTCTCAAGATTGCCCATTTCACCACATTCATTTTGTCTGTGTTTTGGCTCATTTCACCATTTATGGACATGGGGTCTGATGACTTCTTCAAAAAGGGGAGCAGGCAGTTAGTATCTAACTACCAGCCTGTAAGTCTGACCTGCATTATAGCAAAGGTGCTAGAAACACTCATAAGGGGTCAGCTCTTAGCTCATATGGAGAAACATGGCTTACTGGCAGTGGAACAGCATGGATTCCAACCAGGACGATCCTGCTTGACAAACTTACTGTTAGCTAGTGAAGATTGGGTCGAGGCCAGGGATAAGAACCATCTACTGGACGTTGTCTTTATCCATCTCAGTAAAGGATTCGATAAGGCATCCCATTTAGGTCTTCTTAGTAAACTTAAACGTTTTGGATTAGAACTACGCTTATGTGAGTGGTTTAGCGACTACCTGATGGTTTGAAGGCTGAAGGCAAGGGTTAATGGTATATTATCAGGGTGGAAAGAAGTACTAAGTGGAGTACCTCAGGGAAATGTACCTGGCCGCCTGCTATTCCTATTATACGTAAATGAACTGCCGAAAATTCTTACCTCATATTCCTTACTATTTGCGGACGATATGAATACATGGGAAACCGTAAATAGTAACGATGATAAATCGGTACTACAAAACGATCTAGATAAGTTAGCTGAATGGGCTAACCTTTGGAGTCTGGAAATTAATTCCAAGAAAAGCGCGGTAATGCACCCAAATCAGAAGTCTTATACGTCAAACTCCCTGGGTGACACAGAACTCTCAAATGTTAGGGGACAAAAGGACTTGGGAATTATTGTAAGCCATGACTTAAAAACAATCACAAATTGTGATCAAGCCACAGCTAAGGCTTTTCGAATGCTATGGGCACTTTGAAGGGCTTTCAAACTATTAGACGAGGATATGTCCCAAGTATTTCATGCAACACATGTCATACATCATCTAGAATACTGAATACAAGCGGTGAGTCCATGCGTCGTAAAGGAGGCACATATCCTGGAAAGAGTACAGAGGGTAGGAACCAAATTATTTAGTCGTATCTCACACCTTAATTATGATAAGAGGATGGAGCATTTAAATCTCTTCCTACTATCATATATATAGCGAAGGAGGAGAGGCGACTTAATTTTGGCTTACCGTATATTAAAGGGTGACTTAGGGATTGACTTTTCAAACCTTTTCTCTCCCTCTAGGATATACATACGAGGTCACCACAAGAAGGTGCTAAACCGAGGTCGAATAAAATACGTGTGAAATTTAGATTCTCTCATAGAGTGTCAACGGCCGGAACTCCTTACCTGATTCAGTAGTAACAGCTCCATCGGTGAACGCTTTCAAATAGAAGCTGGATCTCTGCAGAGATATATATCGCAAGTATTAACATAGGCGACAAGAGCCCTCTATCCCAATAATCTGAATACAAAGAATATATATTCACAATAAAATATTCTATTGTGAATACCCTTCACAAAACTATAAGTACGGTGTGATGATAATTCTGAATATTCACAACAGAATATTCTATTTTGATATATATATATATATACATTCTTTCATGTACCTTACACGAAAGTTACGAGCATACGATAAAAGTGTAATGACTGGGAAAGGTTGCGTTAATTTGATAGGAAAGGCTGGGTACTATGAAGAGGACAAATAAGTAGTCAATATATTGGCTACTATGATAAATCATCTCTTGAATCATACCAATGAAAATTATCTCAAATTTCAAAGCTCTG